CGATTTAGATTCTCTGATATGAATTGGCTTGCTGCCGAATTGCCGCCGAATATCGGGGGCAATTCGGGCCCATTATATCCTATGGGCCATTGAAGTCAATGGCGAAAACATAGGGTATATACTGGGAGCTGTAACTTTTTTCCCTACCATTGAGAACAATGGAGGGGATAGGAGCAACCTGTTTGGGGGCCCATAGAATTGGACCCCCTGGTCCACTGTTCTTGAAACCTGGTGGGTATCTTGGGGAGAGGCTCCAGCAGCTACCCTACGAGTTTGGAGCCTCTCCCTCAAACCCCCTCCCTTCCAGCCCCCAGAATATACCCTATGTTTTCACCATTGACTTCAGTGGCCCATAGGATATAATGGGGCCGAAATTGATATTCGGCTGGCTGAAAGACTCCAGAATGCTCCTACTGTCGAAATTGACATGCGGGACTCTTTCTGCTGGCGGAAATTGATTCTGCCTGAAGAAGTGAGCAGAGACTCGTGAAAGCTCATCGCTGAAGAAGTGAGCAGTGACTCACAAAAGCTTATACCCTGCTACAAATTTTAAGGAGTTATTGGACTTTTCTTCTTTTCTGCTGCTAAGGCTTTAGCGTTAGCATGTAAATGCTTATACCTTTTAATGGTTTTTAACCCTCAGGTTTAGGAGAGGCAGTACAAAAATGCCTAAATAAGTTCACAGTGCGTTTGAAAGGTTCAAAGCAATTTGCATGCGTTATCTTAGTTCCAGAGCCCCGTGAACTAGGCAGTCTTTGCTCTTAGTCTTCAGTGTTATTCCCGTGCTACAGATGTGAAAGGGGTCGGACACAAGAGCATGGGGCAGAGCTAAGAGCAGCTTCCCTAAAGTGAGTTTGTGACTAAGAGAAGACTTGAACCAGGACACTCCTGGCTCACAGTTCATCCTCTGAGCCTCTGTGATACACTAATTCAATACCAGAGATTCCCAGGATAGAACCATAGAATCAAAGAGTTGGAAGGGTCATCTAGTCCAACCCCTGCACAATGCAGGAAATTCACAACTACCTCCCCCCCATTCCCCCAGTGAGCCCATGCCCAGAAGATATTAGTAATGGATTGAGTATTAGAGGATATTATTATTATTAGTAGTAGTAGTAGTAGTAGTAAATATATTTTATTATTTTCAAAAAGATAATACATTTAACATAAACAAAACAACACAACTTTTACATTCAAACTTTGATATCTCATTGCGTGACAATAATAATACGTGACCTAAAAGTCTATTACAATGTGCAGATAAAATAACTCATTTAAGTATAGTTTAACGGTAAGACAACATCTATGATATAATACAAGATACTAGGCCTATCTTTCTCTATCCAACTTATTAGAGGATATTAGAGGATATTAGTAATGGATTGAGTACTGTGGTTTTAGTGTTGGATGTTTTACTATGTTTTATATGTTTTTACCTATGGCATGGCAAATGACCTTGCCCTTGTTAGCTGCCCTGAGCCCATTGGGGAGGGCAGGATACAAATATGAAGAATAAATAAATAAATAAAAATGGCAAAAAAAATGTTTTTGAAGAAGTCTGCAGTGCACATTCTGTGTCCTGCCTGCATAAGTTATCACACTGCAGTGACCTATAGAAACGTCCCCTGCTCACCCCCCACCCCCCACTGGACATCCTTACTAATACACTACTCATATGGCTCGTGTGCTTTTCCCCTTCTTAGCAAAAAGTCTGCCAAAAACACCTCCAGAGACCAGAACAATCCACGCGAGGTGCATATATTTAGTCCTGTCTGATGCCGATTTCCACAGCTGAAAAGAGCGTGCAGAATTTCAGCTTTTGTTGCCGACAAGCCTGTACCCCGTTACCTGTACTGTACCCTGTTCCCTCTAAGCTGAGTTAGTGCGAGCCAGCTCACGGTTCTTTAGCCTCTGGCTCACACATTTTTGTTTTCGCTCAGGAAGGATGGCTCCGGAGCAGATTAATTGATGCAGCGGCCAGGTCACTCGCTCACAACCTTAATGCCAGTAGCTCGCAAAGTAGGATTTTTGCTCACAAGACCCCACAGCTTAGAGGGAGTATTGCCTGTATGTCTCGCTGAACAGGGGGGCAGGCTTCCAAGTACATATGCCCAGGATCAGGGTCAGGATGCAAACCGGGTTTCACTGTGTGAATGGTGCTGCCTGGATATGACTTGGACAAAGCCAGCAAAGGAAGGCTTGACCTTCACCCCTCTCGCTTCGGATGACCGTCCGTGTTCCCTCTAAGCTGTATCTGTGAGCGGCCACTCATGCACACGGGCAGCCCCGCTCAGCTGCAATCTAACACTGCGCAGGGCCCTGCATTGCCCATTTTAAGATTAGGTAAAGGTAAAGGTTTCCCTTGCTCGAAAGCCAGTCAAATCCGACTCTAGGGTTGCGGTGCTCATCTCCGTTTCAAAGCCGAAGAGCCAGCGCTGTCCGAAGACGTTTCCGTGGTCATGTGGCCGGCATGACTAAACACCGAGGCGCACGGAACGCTGTTCCCTTCCCACCGAAGTGGTACCTATTTAACTACTTGCAATTTCTTGCTTCCGAACTGCTAGGTTGACAGGAGATTTTAAGATTACAGCAGTTATATTCTGCTCAGGATGTATTTATTATACTTGATTCATCGGCCGCCCTTCCCTGCGAGCAGGGCTCAGGGCAGCTTGCATCAAAGATAAATGCAATATAATTGAATTAAAGATGGCATTTAGAATACTTTAAAACAATCAGGAAAAAACAGCACTAAATCCAAGACGGTGGTAATTTCTACCCGCTCCCTGGATAGAGGGGATATGTCGGAATAAAAGGGGTCTGTAGCTGTCCTCAAGCCAAATGCACAGCAGAACTATGGCAAGACAGTAAGTCCCGTAGGGTGCAGATGTTCTCAAGCAGAATGTTCCACCAGGTGGGGGCCAGGGCCAAAAAGGGTCTAGTGCGGCTGGGGACCAGTGTTCCCTCTAAGCTGAGTTACTGTGAGCTAGCTCACAGATTTTTAGCTTAGCTCTGTCAGCATATTAGAAGCGCAAATAATGACTCAATCCAGAGTTGGCTAGTGCTGAACTATTTACAGTGGCTTATTTACAGCAATATATACATATAGTTCATATAGCACTTGCAGCATCCAATTCTCCAGGCAAACTGGCAAAGTGCTTCGCATATAATCCAATTCACAAGAGTGATGAAGAACACACAGACTGTACTGAATATATACGTCTCAGCATCAGTCAGATTGAAGTGCTGACTCATGGTGACAGTAGTCAGGATGATGCAACCTATGCTCTGGTGACTTGTCACATGACACTCCATCTGTCACCACAGATCAAGAAGATCTAATAGACTACCTTTACCTTTACCTTGGCTGTCATCTTGCTTGCTATACATCATAGTATGCCGTCAAGCTCATGCAGGATAGCTCCAGAGCTAACTAATTTATGCAGCAGCCAAATCAGTCGCTCACAACTTAAATGCCAGTAGCTCACAAAGTAGATTTTTTGCTCACAAGACTCCACAGCTTAGAGGGAGCGTTGCTGGGGACCACCAGGAGGTTCTTATTCCCGGAGCGTAATGCTCCTCTAGGGACATCTTCCAGGGATGTGAACTGCTCCACTCCGTAGGGGGGAAAATGATAGGGAACGTTGATGACCATCGCCTGCCTTTCCTCCTCTTGCCTTTCTAACGTCTCCCCTGCTTCCCGCCGCTGCTATCTCTCGACAGGCTCAGACGTGGTCGACTGGCTCTACCATCACGTGGAAGGCTTCACGGACCGGCGAGAGTCCCGCAAATACGCCAGCAACCTGCTGAAGGCCGGCTACATCCGCCACACAGTCAACAAGATCACCTTCTCGGAGCAGTGCTACTACATCTTCGGCGACCTCTGCGGCAGTACGGGCCCCTTGCCGACCCTTGGAGGGGAGGGAGGCGGGAGGCACGGGGCGGGTTCCCAGAAAGCGGTCCTTGTAGATTCTCGTCATGCCACGGGCAGAAGTGGAAGAGTGTGTAAAACAGACACAAATCTGGCATCTTTTCCATTTTTCTTTTAGCTATTTTATTTAATATTTATTTAATATTACAATTTTTCAATGGAACCGAGGACACTCATCAAAGTATACAGAACCGACATATTGAACAGTATAATAAGGGTACAAACCAGTGTTCCCTCTAAGCTGAGTTAGTGTGAGCTAGCTCACAGTCTTTTAGCCTTCGGCTCACACATTTTTGACTTAGCTCAGGAAGGAGGGCTCCAGAGCAA